ACTTTATAAAATGACCAGCGCTGCATTGCTCCCAAGCCCTGATGAGAGCAGCTGAAGTCAGGGCCCTGTCGTGGGCTACGTCAGAGATTATGACCACCAGCCTGCTGGCACCAGCACCTCTGTCTACCAAAAACAACGTCGCCAGCCTTGGAAATAGGAACCAGTGCCCGCACCGAGAGTGCGGCAGGGCAGCCGTACCTGTAAACCGCGCCTCGTTCAGTCACTGCACCTGGCTGCGCGCAGGACCGCAGGTGCCCGGGCACCGACTGCCCACAGCATCAGCGCTGCCTCTGGCACCGGGCTCCCTGACACTGTGACAGCTCCAGAGGTTATCGCTCGAGATCCAGGAACTTGGCACGGAGGTGCTGACGTCACAAACGCCCTTCTCAGAACCCCTGTGCACGCGGATGACCTGGACGAGTCTGCTGGACGAAGTGCGGGTGCTATCACACCACTCGCGTCCCTCCACCAGACTCCCCCAACTCTCTGTCTGTGGTCAGCACACCTGCAAAAGCCCTGCTCCTGGAGGAGCACTGGCCTTCCTCTGCTGCCGAAATTGCCCCCGTGGGGCAGACAAAGGCACCACCCAAAAACAAGTGGACGCCTGTTCACCCGCTAGCAGAATGCACCCGGGCCACTATGAACAGGCGTCAGGACCTAAAGCTGAAGTAAAATTCCTGGGCGTGGGCCATTCCAGAAAGGACGACTGTCATTCTTCTGGCCCTCTCTCCCCCCTGAAATAAAAATTATCTTAGCAATTGGTGAGACAGTACAGACACCGCCACACCATCTCAGGGATCACACGGCACCCAACTGTCAGGTCACCACAAAAACCACCACCTCCGACTGGGGCCCCGGAGGACAGGGCCCTTCAACTGCCTGCCCCAGACGCCCTTTTCCTGGACCCTCCTGATCTCCTCTTGCTGTTTCAGTGAGGAATCTCAGCAACATGTCTCTGCCTCCTGGAACCCATGGCAGAAGGCACTACCATAGATGGGAGGCATCCACTGGGCTTTGGGTCCACAATCTGCCAGACTCAGCTAAAAAGTGCATATCCTCTATTAGACAATTATTAGTCTGTTACTGGCCTGGGTGAATACTGAGACCATGACCTGGGGCGTGAAATGATCTTATGCTGAGAAATTCCAACCAAACACAGAATCCATTTGCTCTGGTTCTCTAGCTTTGTTAGGGTATTCACACTTTATGTCAAACTTTACATTTCTATAAAACATGCTCAAATACAGACTCATAAACCAAATAAAGGTCTGGATTCACTTCATTTAAAACTATATAGATTATTTCTGATTGTTGTACTTACCCTTGAGCTTTTCCCCTAAGGGAGGTTTTTGTTTCTTTGGTTGCACTTGGGTTTTTGACTCTGAATTGTGATGTTCAAGTGTAAGATTTCCATCTGGAACTTCATCGAGAGCTATAGAAAGAGAGAAATTAAGTCTTTCAATAGAAAAATAGATCTCCTATAAAATCTCTAGATTTCAAACATATAACAAGTCACCAGCTATATTTTCTCTCATTTCTGTAAGTCACAAGTATACTATCGTAACACTAGATCTGATGTAAAAATTGAGAACATTTTTAATGGGTGTGTGTTGAAGCTATTTGATAAATATTCCCAGGCATCAAAATACTTATGTTAGACCCTAATTTTCTTAGATTATTTATGCTTTCGGTTAATATATTACATATTTATGGATGAACCTATGAAAATCTTATGCACGAGGTTGGTCATTACAGCATTATCTGTAACTGCAAAATATTCAAAATCACCCACATGTTCAAGCCGAGGAGATCAGTTGAATAAACTGATGTACGTACCATAAGCAACAGTGCAGCACCTTCTGCAACAGATGTAAGTCGACTCATTATGCTGCATGCCTTAAAACCGCACAGCGACGTATGTCAGTTGTATCTCAATAAATCCGGAAAAGAAGTAGTGTAGTAACAGCTATGGTATGTAACAGCGTGTGTGTGTGCGTGTGTGTGCGCGTGTGTGTCCTGGGGAGCACTAGCTGGTCAACTGCAAGAGTCTGAGGGTGCAGCAGCACGCCTGGCCAGCCACACCAGCGAGGCTCAGAAGCGCTGAGTCAGGGATGCCGTGCGGCCCTCTGGGGGGCGCTAGCCGACTGCTTATGGAAGCTTCTGGGTGGCAGGGGACCAGTGGTCCTTCTCTTCAGCCCCAGACTCCCTGCCCACATGCCCGGGGGGTCCAATCAGAGATGCAACAGAGGGGCTCTGGGAACTCTAGGGAAGCGATTCCTTGGCTATTGCTACTGTCCTCTGATGACGGGACAAAACCTGCCGCGTACTCTGCAAGCTAAGCGCACCCAGCAACTGATGTACATTAACGAGGCCCCGGACGACGACACGCAGGCCACAGCACAGCACGCTGCTGACACTCATGACTTAGCGCAGTGAGGACAGGACCCTGGGTCACAGGCCCAGGGGTGTAAAGAGGCCTCAGAGACCTGGTCGGGTTGCATGGTGAGGGAGGTGATCTTCTTTCCTTTTCTTCCTTTTGTGTACTTTCTAATTCTAGTCTGATAATTTGTTTAATTCATAAGGTTTGCAAGCAAGCAAAGTACAGAAGGCACTGATTTCAAGGAGGTAATCTTACAGGTAGTGAGAGACAGTGTAACTTGTGGGCTGTGTCACTATAAAGTCCCTCCCTCCTTAAGAGTGTCCTGACAGCAGAAAGTCAGCTCAAGGAGGCTGCGGTGAGCAGACAAGCCCCTCTTCCCCAGCTGGGAACCACCTGGGCTCTGACAGCTCTGCCCCCCCCCCACCACGATGGGCTCCCTAGGACTACGACGAGTGTCTGGACTGAGCTTCCAGAGGTGACAGCACACTGTGAGCCACACTGCTGGGCCTTAGTGACAGTTGTGGACGGGAAGGCTGTTAACGAGACTCTAGCTCACCAGTGCGCCCCCTGCTGGTTATCAAGCTCAATAAACCTCCTTCTAAGTCTGTCCATTAGTCAGTGACATAATCCAGACTGTCACCGACAAATCCCTGGGCAGGAAAAAAGTGACTCCTGCCAAAACAGCGGAGAAGGAATGTCACAGAGAGTGACATGAAAATCACCATGCTATGAGCACACACTCCCGGGGGATCCAGGTAAGGGCTTTCCCAAATATACCTCCGGGTCTGGTTTTCACACAATGGGAGCTCAAAAGGAGAGACGACTGGGCTCTGCACCTGGGAGCTCACGGCCACGCAGGGTGCCATTAGGGGCCAAGTGGCAGCTGCTCCGGGGCCACCCGGCAGGGACCCCTACGACTAACGCAAGGGCGGTTTCTTCTCCTTCGCCCTGTAAGCTCCGGGGGGGTCAGAGAGCCCCCCGCCAAGTTTTACCCAGCCTTTCTGGCTTAAAGAAAATGAGACGATGAAACGTCCAGTGTCCTTTCATCCACAGTGAGGAATGGAGGCCCTATGCCGAGGGTCACATTTCAAAGCAGACGTGGGGGTGGGGACTGCATTTCTTGGGCCTTTTGGACAATGGTGTACAGGGGCCTGTGACCCCCAAGCCCCCTTGCATGTGAATGAGGGGGAAATTAACAAAACTCTCTGACTTCCTGTCTGAAGACACCACCACCAAGCCCCATACCCGGACCTGACTGCAGCTGCAGCCCCCCACTCCTGCAGGGGCGCCCCCCACTGCAGGGACTGCTGTGGCCGGTGCCCTGTCGTGTGCACCCCTGACTGCAGGCACTCCAAGCCCTGAAGGAAGCTGCTGCAGGCGGGACCGTCTCTGTGGGGCATATGGACGCCTGGAGACCTACCACACTGCTGGTGCTAGCGCTCTGTCTCTCAAAACAGCACCAGCTATCTCAGGAATTGGAAAAAAAAAAAAAAGCTGCCCTCACTGCTGTGCTTAAGGAAGCCCAGGTTCACATCTGACCTTCGCCCAAGGCCTCAGGCCCCTGGAAACTCAGTCAGGCATCCATGGCTCATCAGTGCAGCACGGCCCTTGACGCGGGCACCGCCTGCCGCTGTGACGGCCACGGAGGCTACTGCCCGAGCTCGGGGAAGCAGGTGTGAAGCCATTCACATCACAGATGCCCTCTGCAGCACCCCGTCCACATAATGATCACGGTCAGCAAGCTTCGTGCTTAATGGGCTGCTATGCACCTATAATGTCCTTCCACGAGGCCACAAGCAGGAAGGAGTCCCACTCCCAGACAGGGCGCCAGCCTCCCACAACACTGGTAACACCCTCCTGGTGGGTCCAGACAAGGGTACTGCCCAACCAGGCTGGACGCCCTTCCGACCCACACGTAGCAACACATCAGGACATTAATACGGACAAGGCACAAGCACCTATGACCCACGTGAAGTTCCTGGGAATAAACTTTGAAGGGACAGTATATCCCTCTCCAGAGGCAACAATTTGCCAAGTTTTTATCATGCTCAAGCTCTCAGCCCCAGCAAGTATGAAGGATGCCCAGCAGTTGATGCGGCTGTTCAGCTACCCGTCCTCATGGATCCCTGCATGGCCACCCTGATGACAGCACCCGTCAATCAAGTACCGAAAAGACACCAGGATGCCCTGGAGACCTTCCAACTGGCTACACAGGCAACCCTTTCCTCATCCCCTTGAATCCACTGCCTTTTAAGTCAACGGTCTCAGCCGTCTCTCTGCCAACTGGAGCCTGGGGCGAAAGAAAACTGCCTCACGAGCCAGGCGCCAGCTGGGCTTTGAGACCCATGATCTCCCGGAGGACTGGATGCAAACACCTCCTGGGGGACCCGTGACCGGTTACCGAGCCTTGGTGGACACTGAGCGCAGAAGTCATGTCAGCAAATAGCCTCCAACCAAATGTTATATGCTTTTTGTTCTCTAGTTGTCTTATGGTATTCACATTTCTATCAAAATGGAAAATTTCTATAAATTATATGGTCAAATACATATTCATGAACTAAAGAAAAAAGATCTGATTAATTTTTTTAAATGTTAAGTCACCTCTAATTGTTATACTTACTATCAGGTCTTCCCCTTCCAGACGTTACTTGCTTCTGTACCTGCATTTGGAGCTTTAACACTGAGTCCTGAGGCGTAAGCACAGGGTTTCTGTCTGGAACGTCGTCACGAGCTACATAAAGAGATGTGTTTAGCTGCTTAACAGAAAAACAGATTTACTGTGAAATCTTTGAATTTTAAATTGATAACATACAGCAAAATTTTTCTCTCAGTCTGATGAAGTTATAAGTAAATTACCATAATGTCAGATGTGACATACAAATTGTGAGAGCATTTTTAATGCGTTTATGTTGAAAGTATCACTAATATTTCTAGGTGTCTTACATATATATAAACATATATAAATATATATACAGTCTAATTTTCTTAGGTTGTTTATACTTTAGGCTAATACACATTCATAGAACTAAAAATAAAAATGATTATGTACAGAGTTACTCATTATAACATATTTGCAATTGTAAAACATTCAAAACCTATAAATTTTCAAGCAGAGATTAGTTAAATAAATCAGGTATATATTATGCACTGTGGTATAATACAAAGTACAGTAAATAATGTGGAACAAATAGCTGTACACAGGGCTATAACCCCAATGAAACAGATCTCCATAAACTGACTTGGAGGAATTTCTAGAAATAATAGGAAGTTAAAAAATGAAAATTGAAAAGGGGCAAACTTGTATTCTCTGGGTAAGAAAAAAAAAGAAATGAGAAAAACAGAAAAAACAGAGGAGACACAGGAAAGCTGTCACAGAACAGCATGCCTGGTGACCCCCAGAACGAGAGGGAGGACCAAGGGAGGGGCGGCAGCCCTCTAAGCACAGCTTTTTGGTTCATTTCTATGTATTTCAAAATAAACCTAAATCAAGAAGGCTAAGAAGACGGGATGAAAACAAGAAAGCAAATGAAACGAAACTGCTGAAGGGAAAATAAAAGCAGTGACCCATCCATGCAACATTTAACACAAGCCGTCTCTCGGACAGGAGGGTCGGGCGCGTAGGGAGGCAGACCGCAGACAAATCATGACATCCTTTAAACCCTGGTTGGTTTTTCTAGTGGTGTGTGCTGAGCAATTCTGAAACCGTCTGAGAAGCATTACAGGACTGAGCAAATGAGCAGATGTGCTGATGACACTCAGAATCCAGCTCCCCCGGCGTAGGGTCCCTAAACGTGGCAAGAGCCTCTGTCGGGGTCCCTTCTGCTGTGAGGCCGTCCCTCAGCTCTGTCTGCACTGCTGGGTCCAGCCCTTGGCGAGTGCTTCTCCAAGGGCTGGAACAGAGCAGCCATGAAGCCGGCGCCCCCCGTCGGGACCACCGCCTGTGCTCTGGGGGCACGTGGGTCAAGAGAGGCTGCGACACTGACATCTCCAGGCGTCTAATATGCATGCACAGGTGCCACTTTTCTCTTTACGCTAACACAAACTCATAGAACTAAAAATAAAAACCAATAGGTAAATAAGGGTTAATTGTTGCTTTGTGCAATTGTTTGGCTTGTTACCTGAATAGACCAACTCAAGAAACTTGTCTCTCTCTCTCTCTCTGTCTCCCTTGCAAATTAGTACAAAAAGAAGGCTGGTCTGTGAAGCACAATGCTCTTCTGAGAGGTGCTAGGAGGAGGCAGGACTGGTGGGCAGGGAGGCACCACCAGGTGACTTGCAGGACACCGACAGGACACTTTGCCTGTGAGGTAAACGAGTCCCGTGAAGTACTAGAGGGGCTCTGGAGAGAGCCACCGCATTGTTCACACGCGCTTTTTTTAATTGAAATGTATCTGATTCACAATACTGTGTCAGTTTCAAGTATACAGCATGGCGATTCAGTATTTTGCAGATTATATTCCATGACACATTATTACAAAAGAATGGGTATATTTCCATGCCATACAGTATATCCTTGTTACTTATCTATTTTACACATAGCAGTTTGTATCTGTCAATCTCATATCCCTAATTTGTCTTTGTCCTCTTCTGTTTCCCTTTTGATAACAAGTGTGTTTTCTGTATCTGTGAGTCTGTTTGTTTTGTGTGTATATATATTCATTTGTATCATTTTTTAGATTCCACATAAGTGATATCATACAGTATTTGTCCTTCTCTGTCTGACTTACTTCACTATATAATATCCTCTAGGTCCACCCACATTGCTGCAAATGGCAGTATTTCATTCTTTTTTATGGCTGGGTAATATTCTACAGTGTGTGTGTGTATAAAATCTTCTTAATCCAATCATCTGTCAATGGGTTGCTTCCATAAGCTTTTCAGTTCTGAAGGAAAACAACTGTCTTTCTCTTTAGCCTGATTCACCAACCAAGATGCTCAGTAAGTCAAATGGAAGACTCAACAGATGGTCTGTGAGAAAACTAGGGAAGCAGTTGTATAGCTACTGATGGGTCCAAAAACGTTGCAGACCCTGCATGCTGACTTGCACCAGTGCCTGCTGTTAGCTGTAGCACACCCCTGGGACTAAGGGACAGCCTTTGATGCAGGGAGTTACTGAGACTCACACTTAAATGAGAAAGCACGTGGAGTCCTGAGGATTGCTTTGCTTAGCAACTCAGGTAGCATGAAAAAGGGGGTGATCTTGCTCAACTTAGCGTAGGGTTTGTCACTGCAGGACCCCACTGCAGAACCTGACAGCCCCATACTGCCCCAGGGGGCAGAGGAAAAGGAAGATGAGAGACTCGCACATCTGAGACCTTCCTCACTCCTTCGTTGGGTACTAGTTTGGTGCCAACAGGGTAGCCCACCCACTGTGAGGTCCCTGCCCCTGAAAAGCACATCTGGATCACCACATGAGGAGGCTCTGAAGTCTCCGTGCAGCACCAGACTGGTTTCTCAAGTGGCACACGGAGGGATCACAGGAATAGTACAGACCTTAACCAGACTCAGATTTCCAGTCTCATCCAGGCCAACCATGCTGATTCCCCAGCCCCGTTAAACCTACTTACAGAGCGGCGTCAGCTGGCTCACGGCACCGTCCGGATCTTAACTGGCAGATTTCCAGGCATGGAAAAAGCAGCAGTACAAGACAGTACTGTCTGACCACTGAGCAGACCTGAAGATGGTAAAGGGCTCCCACTCCAGGATGATCTGGTTAAAGAGCCACCCCTCCAAGTCTCTAGGTCTGGTTACTCAACAGTGGACTCTCAGGAGAACGCTGCTGGACTTCCCACTGAAGACCTCCAGGCCAGGCACTGGCCGTGGACCCCAGCACACGTCCCCAGCTAACAGCCAAACTGTGACGCCCCTGTGACTGATACTAACGCTCCTCCCTCTGCTCCTCCAAGTGCCGCTGGAATGACTCAGAGAACCCTTCACTCCTTCCACCCAGACTTCTCAGCTCCAAAAAAAAAAAAATGGGTGCCAGGTCAAGATTCCTACGTCAGCAGTGGTGGTCTGAGAACACATGCCAAGGTCAGAATTCAAAGTGGGGTGGGGGAGTACTGCATTTCTAGGGCCTTTTAGGACATCGCTGCACAGGTGACTGACCCCCATAACATCTGAGCCCACGTACTGGCGGAAAGAGGTAACGCTCCCTGCTTTTCCATCTGAGGCCATCACCGAGGCAACCGGTAGTTAAAACACTACTCTGAGTACATCCTCTCAATCACAAGACTCCGTATTTATAGCCCTCACTACTGAGTGCGGATTGGTGCAGATGTATTCAGCTCTAAGCCCTGGGGGAACTGCTCGTGGGGCACGTGGAAGACTGTAAACCTCCACACTGGACAGTGCCCAGCACCTGTCTCCCCCAAAACACATTCCTGGAACAAAAAGAAATAACTGCTGTCATTGCTGAGCTCAACGAAGAGAAAACTCTAATAACGAACTTGACCTTCGCACACAGCCTCGGGTGCAGGTGATTCGGTGGACGGTTCTGGCAGGCCAGGTCTGCAGTGCAGCCCCGAGTCCTGATGGGACCTGATACTGCAGCTGTCACACAGGCTGTCTTCCTAACAGAAGGACTCGACGTCCAGCAGCCGACCAGTCAAATGCCCTTTGCTGCATCCCTCTGCACACAAATGATAAGGGCAGCTTAACTCACATGGAGTCAGCTGCAGCAGCCCACCAACGTCTTCCACGTGGCTACAGGCCACTCAGGCATCTGCCATCAGCGCAGAGACTCAGTTAACGCATAGTCATGACCTCTGAGGGGCCTGCTCCGAGAGGGCGTGCTGCCTGCTGCCCAAGTAAACCTGAGGCGGCCACCAACCAAGAAGGAGCAGACGCCCTGCCGACCGCCCACAGCTCCTGGCCGGGCCGTCAGCATAGACAGGGCCCCGCTGCCTGGCACCCTAGTGAAATTCCGGGCCATGGTCTCTACGGGGCGTGACACCTCACTCCAGGGGAGGAGACGGCCACGCTTTGGCCATTCAACCGCAACAAACAAAAAGACAGTGAAGAGTTCTTCAACTACCTGCATTTCCACTTTCCTGTGTGGTGCCTTTGCTGTCCTCTCAGCAAGGACACATCCAAGAGGACCCCCGGAAGGCCCTCGACCAGGCCTCCCGTGCCTCATCCGGCGCCTGCGTTACAGACCTCGGAGCAGTGGTGGCACTCACACTTTAGTCAGAGCCTAAACGTCTATAAGCGTTTGCCCAAACACCTATGTGTGAACCCAGATGCAAAAATCTTCCAGCGGGGTTACTGTAAAATAACTGAATGCTTTCTGTGACTGGAAGCTGTTCCCCTCTGTGAGCGCGCGCTCTTCACTGGAATTTCTGGCTGTGACACTGAGTCCCACGGCTCAAGCTCAGGGTTTCCGTCTGGTCCTCCATCCCAGGCTACATGGAGAGAAGAACTCAGTCCCCGAAATAAAAAGGAGATCTACGGTGAAATCTCCATATTTCAATTTATTACCAGTGAACAGCCACACTTTCTCTCATTTTTATAAAGTTGTAATTAAATTACCATAATGGGAGATCTGACATGAAAACTGTGAGAAAAGTTTAGATGGCTGTGTGTGTGTAAGGTGTTTTATCAAATCATTAATATTCCTCGACTTTAAATATGTTTTATATTGGTCCTGATTTTCTTAGTTTTTTAATATTCTTAGTTACTATATATTCCAAGCAATGAAAGCACATGTGCACAAGCTTCTTCATGACGGCACACCTGTAACGGCAGGACACTCAGAATGACTTGAACACCCAAGCACAGGAGACTGAGACTGAGTACCGTACGGAAGCCGTGATAACACAGACACGGGACGTAATGCGGTACAAGCAGCTGCACATACACGTCTAACAGGAGCGAAAAGGACCCCAACAAGCTGACCTGGAAACGTTTCTCAGGAATGATGCCTAGTGGGGAAACACCTGAAGAGAGTATCCAGCATGCTGCCTTTCGAGCAAGAAGGAAAGGGAAGCTGTACAAAGTGAAACACCACTCAGCCGTGTCGCTGCGCACACGAGTCACTGCAGACACTGCCGGCCCAGCTGCGCCAGTGGCTCCGGGCAGCTCTCAGCACGTCTGTAGCACTGATGGACAGGCTGTGATACAGCGTTTCTGAGACTCGTGTTTAATGAAAAAGAATCCAGATCTCTCAGTCTCACCTGACCAGCAGCCTGAGGAGACGGAGCCGCCACCCTGGAGGCGCGCCCCTTGTGGACGTGGGGAGGGACAGCGGCAGCTGCTGGCCATGTCACTGCAGACCCCGGGTTCTGAATGCCCCGGCAGGGGCCACTTTGCCCAGAGAGGTCAAGGAAAGGGACAGGGAAAAGACACCAACACCTGACACAGTCCTCCTGCTGCTGGCTGACATTTGGTTCCTGAGAGGTTCAGCCCCCCACAACGAGCACCCTGGCACTGCCTAACTCCTCAGCGACAGCACCCCGAGGATGGGAGGCACGGACTCTCCACCGAGCATCTTATGCCAGGAAGCCACGGGGGCCAACACGCAGCCCCACGAGAACCAAACGGTGAGGACACTAGTGCCAGGACACGTGCTCCTGTCTCTGCCCCTCCCAGAATCAGAGAGCTCAGCCTATGTTTGCCCAGAATGCTTGAGTTTAAGAATAAACCAATTAGGGGTTGGGCCAAGGTCCCTATATCCCCAGTGGCATCTGAGGATGTACGCCAACTCAGACTTCCAAGAGGCAGTGGGAGGAGCCTGCACTCCCTGGGTCATCTGGATACCAGCCTGCCGATGACTGTTATCTCCACAGCTCCGACACCAGGAGGAGGGGTAGTCGGTGCCACCTGACCCTCACTTACACCCGGCCATGGGCTTGGGGGGACTCCCCTGGGCACCATAAGCCTCTCGTTTTCTAGCTCCCACGACTGAGTGTGTTATTAGTATAGACGTATCTTCTTTGTGAACTCCAACTCGCATCAGCTCCCAGCCCTGGGGAGCAGCACTGCCATCGGGGCCATGGCAGTGGGGCAGATGGAAGGCTGAAAACCTACCAGACCACCAGTGCTAGACATCTGCCTTCAAAGACAGCCACTAAGGGAAGAGAAAGAAATTACTGCCCTCTTTGCTGAGCTTAAGCAAGCCAATGACCTCTCTGAGACCGCGCCTCGAGTCAGTACCTAAGTCAGCTGCGTACACGGCCTCAGGTGCCTGTCGACTCATTTGGTTACAGGCAGTTTAACCCTGTGGTGCAGACAGATCAGGACGCTGGTACCGCCTGCCACTGTGACGGCCACAGAGGCCACTGCCTGAGCCCAGGGAAGCAGGTGCGAAGCCACTCGTATCGCAAATGCCCTCTGCAGCACCCTGTCCACGTAAATGCTCAGGGTCAGTTAGTTTTGTGTGTAATGGGCTGCAATACACCTGAAACGTCCTTTCGCAAGGCCACAAGCAGAAACAAGTCCCGCTCCCAGATGGGGCATTAGCCTCCCACTACACTGGTGACATCGTCCTGGTGGGCCCAGGCAAGGGAACTACCGAACCAGGACTGGACACTACGTTAACCTGCATTCTGCAACACAGCCGGGTCATTAACGGGGATGTGGTACAAGGACCTTGCACCCAGGCGAACCCAGGGAAAATGGCAACGTGCATCACTGCAGGGGTGACAACTGCCAGCGCCTGTCCTCTCGGCCCCAACACACACAGGAAGGGCCGGAAACCTGTGGGATTATCCACTGCTCGCACTCACGTGCTCCCCAGTGCGGTGCTAACTGCAACCATCTGTTGAGTTACCCAAAAGGCCTCTTCATTTAAGTGGCTGTCAACCAACAGGATGCTCTGGAGGCCAGCGAACGGGCCTCCCCGGCCTCTCTTCCCCAAGGCCCCTGACCTGCTGCTGAGTTACAGCTCACAGCACCTCCTCTGTCCAGCAGTTAGAGTCTCTGGAAGGAGGCGGCTGCACAGGACACTGGACTGAACTGGGCTGGTGGGCTCCTCACTTCGGGGAGTTACCTGAAAGGCACACACCTTTTGAAGGACAATTATTTGCCTATTACTGGTGTTAGTGGATAATGAGCACGTGACCCACGGCTACGAAAAGCACGACAACCGGAAATCCCGAGCAAAGCTGCGGACGCTCCAGCCTTGGCGCCCTGGTCACCTGAGGGCAGGTTATGCTTCGAGTCCAAGCGTAACGTTACCACAAGATCTACAGTGAAATAGATTTATGAGCCAGAGGACAAGGTCTTTGGCTGTAATGGATATTCAGTCATTTAAAGCTACCTGTACCTACATTTACGGAGTCTCTTCTCTCTCTGTCTCTGTGCTTCTGGTCGGGTTTCTGACGCTGGTTCTTGGTGCTCCGGCGTACGATTTTCATATGATGCTCTATCATAACCTACGTGAGATACATATTTAGTCCACTAAATAGAAAAATACGTCTATTGTGAAATCTCTATATGTCAAATTTATAACAAACACACAGTAACATTCTCATTTTTATGAAGTTATAACTAAATTAACATAATGCTAGATCTAGTAAGGTTATTGTGAAAAGCATTTTAGTAGATGTGTTTTGAAGCTTTCTCATTACTTCATAAACATTTCTAGGCATTACATATAGTTTATATTTGTCTCTGTTTCTCTTAGGTTATTTATATGTTTTGTAGATCATGTTGACTTCATAGACCAACCAATAAAACGCATATGTACAATTTGCTAATTACAGCATTACTTGTAATTGCACATAAATGTTCATGCATGGGAGTGAATGAATAAGCTAGTATGTACTATAAACTTCATAAATTACAGTAAATATGGTTCAAACAGCTGTGTGTAGATAGTTAAAAGGAATCAAATGAACCTCTATAAATTGAATTGGAGAGATTTTAAGGAGACAATATTAAGCAGGGGAGAAAACCCAAAAGGGAAAATCTTGCAAGGTACATACTAGATAAGGAAGAAGGGGAAATAAGAAAGAGAATTAGAGATACTTACCTTTACAAAATGAAATAAGTGAGACAGAAAATAATGGAGCTGGTTACCTGCAGGACGAAAGGGAGAGAGCTGGGGGAGAGACAGCTCTCCTCTAAGACACCTGGATGCATGCTTTTTACCTTGAGAAACAGGTTCATCTTCCAAATATTTCAAAAATAAATTAAATCACAAAAAAGGAACTAAAACTGAAAGCAAACTTAAAGAAATGAGCCTAGTGAGAGAGAAAAGCACTAAGGCCAGCAACTCATCAGCACAGTGTCTGACACACACCCTCGCCAGCGGGCAGAGGCTGGAGATTGTAAACACACGGCGAGCATCTCCAGTTGGCTGGTGTTTCTAGACCTCTGTGCTAAGCAATTCCAAAATCATGTTAGAAGCACAGCGAGATGGAACAAATGAGTGAACGTGTTATGTTATTCCGTCAGGACTCACACGTGGAAGAAATACACACACAGGAAATAGAAGAAGGCAAGAATAAGCCCTGAGGGAATGGACCAAATCGAAGATTTCCAAGATGTATCATGAACTCTAAGCGCGTCTACGCAGGTTTGTATGCACACGTGCAAGTCTGTGGGCACACGTGTGTATGGATCATATGTGGATACGTATATACGTTTATGTAAACACGTGAATGTACTGAAGGAGGCCGACTCCAGGCTGGGCACAATCTGAGACAATCAGAGGCCGACCCGGCAGTTTTCACGGGGAAAGGAGCGCCTCAGCCCACAAGAGACTCGAGGTAGCTGTGGTTGTGGACACCGCTGCCTTCCCCGCCACGCTCTCATCCCGCTGCTTTCCGAGTCCGCTCACCTCATGGGAAGCCTCCTGGCAGGGGTGGGGTTAAGCGGGGGCTCACTGGGCACTGACCTGTGCAGCGGCCCACTCACGCACCACACTGCCTACATTGCCTTGCGGGTGGGGCTGGAAGACCCTTTCCTCAGGCCCGACTTGGCACTCAGGACGAGCCTCCGCCCAGCCCTCCCACCACTACCTCCCAAGGACACAGGGCCCACAAAACAGCAAGAGCCTTTTGTCTGGGCTCCTTCAGCCGTGGGACCGTCCTCTCCCACGTCTCAGTCCAGTCTGCACTGGTGCATCTACCCTCACCCCTGCTGTTTCAAGAGCGGAAACAGAGCGCTGCTGGAGCCGGGCCCTTTCCTCTCGCCTGCACTATTGCAGTACGTGAATAAAGGCTTGATTGTTACTTTGAGTTTGGCTTGTTACTTTAATTGGCCATCCCGGGAACCGGCACCTCCCCCTCAAATTGGAGCAGCAAGCAGGGGTGGTAAGCCCAGTGCCCTGTGGAAGGCAGAGCTCAGGGGGCGTAGTGAGTCCGGGGCCACGGCGGGCTGGGGCGGCGGAGGGCGCTGCAGGGCCATCAGCAGGGGGCCAGCATGTGCCGACAGCGCTGCGGCCACGCGGGCGCTCCCGGCGGGCAAGGGTTACTAGCAGACGGGCTTTCAGCTTGGGGGGCAAAGGTTCTTCCCTTCAGATCTCGATCCGCTGGCCAGGACACCTGCAGGGCAGTCAAGTTAGAGACTTGGCAGAGGGGCTCTGAGAAGCCCAGGGACGCAACCTGCGGCAACTGCTGGGGGTCCGGCAGTGCTGCCAGCGGTGGGGCCAACGTCACCGGGGCCACCCCTCGTCGCGGTGCGCCCAGGGACCGTGCTCGGCTCTGAGCTTGTTCCTGGAACTGAGGTCAGCCTGTGACTTACTGGGCCACGTGCTTTAGTGAAAACAAACATGAGAACCACGGGGTCACTTTTCCCAGCTATGAAAGAGATCTTAAACCCTGGTAGCTTGCCTCCATGTTGAAGGAATTCATCTTGTTAAACTTAGTGGAAAAGGGCGCACGCACTGTTGAGCTTGTCACTACACAACACGTTCTTCAGAGAGTCTTGGGAGCAGTCACGTTGCTGATGAGGTGGGAAAGGGGGGAATGAAAAGAGCAAACACTGGAGACCCCCTCCGTCCTCAGCTGGGTCCAGTTCTGGCTCTGACAGGATGGCCCACCTCTGATGAGTATGAGTTCCCCGCCACCGAAAACCATGTCCACACCACCAGTGCAGAAACGAGAGCGTCCCTCTGAGCCACGCTGGTGGTCCCAGAGTCTACACCGATGGAGTGAGGATGGAGATTCTTCACCAGACCCAGACTTCTTGATTCATTTATTCCAGTCTTTCTAATTTCAAACTCAAGTAAACCTCCTCATAAGGTCTGGTCACAGGGCAGCTCACAACCTGGGCATTAACTGACAACCTGGTGGCCCTGCTGCCAGGGCAGCAGCGGCTTACCAACCATAAAGCAACGTGAAAATGGTCCCCAGGAACCTGCTCCCAGACAATCCGGGCCTAGGTCTCTAAAAGAGACCTACAGGAACATCCAATGATGAGGGTCAAAGAAGCAGGCCAAAGGGCTCGCTACCAAGGAACCACGGCCTGCAGGGGCCGAGGGATGCCCAGAAGGAGGCTGACCTGGGGGCCACGTGCTGACAGCCCCTGTGAGCAACACATGTGCTGCTCATCATCTCCTTCTGCTGAATCTTCACCAGAATCTGAGAGCCCACCAGCCTTTATCAAGCACTCTCCACTTTCAAAGATGAGCAAGACAGTGGGTTAGACCAGGTTCCTCTGTCCTCAGTGGGAGCATGAAGATCTAGGCTAAGGTCAGAGTTTAATGGGGAGGCGGGAAAGAACTGGATCTCTCGGGCCTTTTGGATAACGGGACTGTGACTGATCTCAGCCCCTGACACTAGGGTGAGGTAGAGACACAGTGTTCACTAGGTGAGGGTAAGGGGTCTGGGTAAGGGGTCTGGCCATTAGGTCGGAGGCTATTATCAATGGGCTCCTTACCCAGATCCAACGGGGGGCGTGGCCCTTCAGCTCACTACACACACGCTCACAGTCCCACTCAGGGCACAGCAGACGTCCTCTCTGTTGATGACATCCTCTCAGTGGGCCCAACATGGGCACTGCCAAAGGCTGGACACTCAGTGGGGCCTTTACTACAGACAAAGCAGAGTTACCTGGTGCCCTGATAAAATTCCTGAGTATGATTTGTAAGGGGCAGACACCTCACTACAGAGATGAGTCCCAGGCGCTGGTCCTCTCTACCGCAACAAGTGGAAAGAAGGCCCAGTGCCGGCGGGGCAGTCACACGACGTGCACACTACTATTCCCCATGGAGGGTCCGTGAGGGCACCTCCCTTCAGTGGGGCCACGACCAAGAGGCTGCCATGGAGGCCCTGCGAGGCCCTGCCTCCCCCTGCACCCTTATACCCAACGTGCTCTCTGAGTTACAGAACTCGGCAGTATCTCTGTTTACCAACTGGAGGCTATGGCAGAAGACCGCCAACATAGGGCAGAGGCCCCCCTTTGGGCTTTCAAACTCCTATCTCCAGGAGCCAGCTGGGAGGTACACAATCTTTACAAGACATTTACTGGCCTATTACAGAACCATGGTGGATACTGAGTGGTTGACCCATGACCACGGAACACCCACGGGGCCAAAAATACCAACCAAAGGGTACGGGTAATTTTGTCTTAGTTCCCTAGTTAAAATTAGGGTATTCACACTTTAAGTCAAGATATAAGATTTCTATAAAATATATATTCAAATACATATTCACGAACCAAAGAAAAATGACCTTCTGAGGAGTTTAATTGAAAATAATTTAAAGTTATCTATAATTAGTATACTTACCACTGAGTCTTTTCCCTTCAGAAGGTCTTTGTTTCTTTGCTTCCAGCTGGGTTTCCAACACTGAGCCCTGATGCTCAAGCATAGGGTTTTCAGCTGGTCCTTCATCATGAGCTACATAAAGAGAGGTATTCAGTGCAACAAGTGGAAAAACAGAAATACTGTTTGACTCTATACTTTCAAATTACTGACTAACGTACATCAGCACTTTCTCCCATTTTAAAAAATTATAATTATTATAATGCTAGATGTGATATAAAAATGGTGAGAAGGGTTTTTTAATGGATGCGTGTGGCTCAAGGCCACAGTACAGCTCTGGACCCGGGTGTCACATGCTGCTGTGACCTCCACAGAGGTTTACTGTCCAGCTGAGAGAAGCAGGTATGCAGCAGCTGATATCACAAGTGCCCTTTTAAATATTCCTGTTCACGCAAAAGACCAGGATCAGTCTGCCTTACGTGGAATGGAAGCACACGTGAGGATGACTGTATGGGTAAGCTCACTACATGCACCCGTATGTGGATGCGCATGTGTTTAAACTGAGGCACTGACCCCAGGCCAACATCTTCCATGTGATCTTTCAGGCCCAACCTCAGACAATCACAAAGGCTTGACTGGCAGCTGTCTTTCTTGGAAGTCCTCCCCCACCCCCACTGCACTCGAGGCACGGCCAGAGACCTGCAGACACCAGAGGAAGCTGCAGTCATGGACTAAGGGCCCCCAGGCTGGCGGGATCTGCGTTCTCTGTCTGGGCACCTCGACGCCGAGGCATCTTTGGTGGGTCCCCTCGGGCAGCGCACTGACCCAGACCGCCTTCCACCGGCCCCTGCAGACATTCTCACTGGTTCTGACTCCGTCCCCAGTGCTTTCGCATTCCTAGCCCTCTCCACCTCCACCTCATCTCAGCCTCCAGTCAATAGGCAGAAGCAGCTCTCTGTCTGGGGCTCCCCCAGCTGTGATGACCATCCTCCAGCCAGCCCTGTCGGCACGGCTAGCTCTGACCCCCATCGAGGCTGCTCTCAGGGGACGGAGCACTGGTGCAGCTGGCACCAGCCAGCACAGACTCTTCTACTACCACAGTGTGTGATTAACGCTTACTCCCGCTTTCAGTTTACTTTCTATCTTAAGTGACCAACTCAAGAACCGGCAGCCCTCTCCCTGACAAATCAGCGCAGCCATCAGAGTGGTCAGTGGAGCACAGTCCCCTCCTGGAAGGAGCCCCAGTGCGTCCTCAGGGCTCTGTAAGGGGCACGACCAGCTCATCTACAAGAGTCAGAGGCCCCCCGGGCACATGAGCACTCCGGTCACCGCGTCTCAGGAGGTGCTGGCGGACTGTGCAACGTGCTTTAGGAGAGCCCTGTTTTATCGTTACAGCCACTTGTTTGTTCTTTGAAGGAACTACAGTCCTTCTATTTTAACGGCCCTCTTTTACTGGCCAAGATGCCCAGTGGCTGGGTCAAATTAAACATCAAACAGAGGGATTTTGACAAAACTGGGAAGAAATTCCTAGGTTAATGACAGTTCCATTAGTCATGGGCCTGAAAGCTGTTGGCGACCCTGCACTCAATGACTACCGTTAGTTCTAATGCTCCTGGGACTGATGCTCGGCCCGTGACGCAGTGACTCCTGAGATGCAAGATTTAATGAAAAGGAAGGCAGAGTCCTTAGCACCAATTCTCCCAGTGACCTGAGGAGACCTTAGAGATGTGGGTAGCTCATCTTCACATTTAAAGAAGTATTTTGTTAAGGAAGTGATCCTGAAAACCTGTTGCGTTGCTAATACAGAAACCCTTTCCTGGAGGACTTGACAGCGGCCACATCGCACAAGGAGGTGCAAGAAAGGAGTACGAAAAAACACAGCCAGCATCCAAGACTCTCTCCTTCCTTGGCTGGGTCCTGGTCAGGATGTGACAGATGGCTCATCTTTGTCTGTGTAGAACCTGTTCTAAGTGTACTTGAAAAGACCACAGGGACTCCATGAGCCACCCTGGTGGTACCAGGATACACAGTGAAGGAATAATGATGTAGATGACGAGAATTTTTTTTTAACCAGACTCAGGTTTCTCGGTTCATTTGTGCCACTACTCTTGGACACCAAACTCAATCAAACATCTTCATAAGGTCTGGGAAATTGGTCTACAACATAATCTTCTTTCCAACATTTTAAATCAACTGTACTTCAGTTAAAAAGCAAACAAACTACCAACTAACCCATTTAAAATATGGGCAGAAGACCTGAACAGACACTTTTCCAAAAGAGGAAAAGCAGACAGCCAACAGGAACATGAAAAGTTGCTCAACATCACTAATACTAGGAAAATGCAACTCAGAATCGCAATGAGACACCATCTCACACCTGTCAGAATGGCCACCATCAAAAACAACACAAACATAAATGATGGCAAGGATGCGGAGAAAAGGGAACCCTTGTACACTCTTGGTGGGAATGCAAATTGGTGCAGCCACTACGGAGAACAACATGGAGGTTTCTCAAAAACCAAAAAGTAGAACCACCATATAGCCCAGTAATTCCACTCCTGGGCATATATCCGAGAAAAACAAAAACATTAATTCAAAAAGATATATACACCCCACTATTAACAGCAACACTATTTATAGCTGCCAAGATACGGAAGCACCGTAAGTGCACATCACTAGATGAACGGATGAAGAAGATGTAGCACATATGTGCAGTGGAACACAACATAACCTTGACCTTAACTGGCAACTTTCTGGACATGTAGTAGTGGATAACGCCAGGAAGAAAGGACTGATCAGAAGAGAGAGTGATGTAAAAACGGCAGGCTAGTAACCCCTCCGGGACCATGCGGGCAAAGGCCTTAAAGAGATCAAAGCGTGTGTTTACCCCAAAACAGGGTCTCAGAGGAGCAGACTGATGGGCTGTGTGCCAATTACCAGGCAGTGGGGTAAGGCGAGCCGGACTAACGCAGACACCACACTTCTGCTTTTCCCAGGGACACGCACCACGAATCAGAGCACTCTCCCAGCTTCTACCAAGATGCTATGGGTTTCAGAATAAACAAGACCACGGGTTAGGGCAGGCCCCAGGTACCCAGGGGGAGTGTGAGGACTTGTGCTGAAGTCAGAGTTCAGCAGAGACGTGCAGGAGAACTGCACGCCCAGGCCTTTGGGGTGCTGGTGCTCTGACCACTGTGTTCCCCACAACCCCCGACACCCAGTGAGGGGGGAGTGATAATGCTGAGGCGGTAGTCCAAAGCCACCAACCACGGGAAAATTCCCCAGACCCCACATCAACAGTGCGTCCACTCAGGCCACCTCAAAATCCCTACGCTGTGGCCCCCACTACAGAACGTATCATTGGGATAGATGTACTGCTAACACGAACCCCTACCTGAACCACCCCTAAGTCCTGATGGAACCTGCCACTTTAGCAAGACGGGCGGAAGGCTGTGACACCATCCAACTACCAGAACCTAGTGCCTTGCTTCTCAAAAAGAAATGCCTAAGGAAGAAGAATAAATAATTGTCCTTACTGATCAGCTTAATGAAGCAGAAACTGTCCCTGAGATTGCTTCTTCATTCAACAGCTCAGTGGACCTGGGCATAGGTCCTTGTGTGTGCACAGCTCCAGTGACAACTGGTAGCTCAGTGACGCAGTCCCGGGCACCAGCTGTCTGTGACGTTGTGACTGCCACAGAAGCTACTGTCCAGGCGAGGGGATTCGGTGTTTTATAACAGACAATGACACACCCGAGGCAGCATCTCTGTCCACATGGAGATCACGGTCAGCTTGCCCCGTGGGGAATGGACTGCAACGCCTCACTGATGTCCTTCCAGAAAGCTACATGAACTCAACTCTCTGTCTTCAAACAGCCATGCCTGGGAAACCTCCTGCACCCAGAGGGAGCACATGCCCCCCAGGGCACCACCAAGCAAGGGCCAGCGGTCCTCCTGACCCACATGCAGCAACGTGACTGGACCATTACTACAGCTACCCAGCACCTAACCGAAGCCCCTGGGCGTGACCTGTAGCCTCCCACTCCAAAGAGGAAGCCTGCCAAGCCCCGGCCCCCTCCACCTCAGCAAATGAAAGCGAGGCCCCGCGGCGAGTGGGGAGGTTTGGCTACCTGCACTCTCATCTTCCTTACGGGGGTTCTTGGTGGCATCTACCCATTAGGTTACCACAAAGACCACTCCTTTCAGTGGAGCCACAGAGGAGGCACTTGAGGCTCCCTGACAGGCCTCTCAGGATACTCTTCCCTTGGACCCACTGATCCCCAGTTGCTGTCTGAGCTACAGCTCTCAGCAGCAGTCCTGTTCACCAGTCACAGTCTGTGGCAGCAGACTACTGCCACAGGGTGCGGCGCCCTCTGCAAGAAAATCACTGCTCTGAAACTGAGTGTCCGACTGTATGCCCCACGGCTGTGAAACAATACAGCTGGCAATACCAGCGAAAGCTATGAACTCTCTGACTTTTGTTCTCTAATGGTCTTAGCGTATTTACAACGATGGTCCAAGAAACGAGAAATGTTGCATAAAATGTAACGTCAGACACATATTCATGAAATAAAAAAATCTTCTTCTGAGCTTAATTAAAATAATTTAAATTTATCGGAAATTATCATACTTACTAACGTCTGTTTCACCTCCAGGCGTCCTTTGTGTGTTTGCTTGCTCTTGTGTTGTCGATGGTAAGGCTTGATGCTCATATGTAAGACTTCCGTCTGGTACCTTATCCTGAGCTACTTAAGGAGAAGCACATAATCAAACAGAAACACAGATCTACTGTGAGACCCCTAACTCACATTTACAGAGATTCATGCACAGCATACATTTTCCTCATTTTTATAGTCATATGTTGATTACCATAATGCCAGATCTAATATGAAAATAGAAGAGTCTTAGTTAGTAAATGTTGAAAGTGTCTCAACATTTTATTAAAAATCCTAGGCATCAAATACACTTTATATTATTTTCTCTTTTTCCTAAGCTTTTCACGTAAGTTAAAACTTAAATACAGCATAAAACACCAGCAAGACAGAGGACTAAAGAAGTTCCAAGGCCCCCATTCCCCCATGGAGACACAGAGTTAACAACATACACCAGCCAAAATACCTTTATGTGAACTCTAGAAACCAGTTAAGAATCTGCATCACTTACGTGGATTATTTACCAAGAAAACCTGCACCAAAAAGGGTAGGAAAGCTCATGGCATCTTGCCCATCGTAGCCCTCCCCTCCTCCCCTGCACAGTGCGCCACAATCACAAGGAAGCCTTCTAATTTCCAGCTCCTCCACTGGGATAAAAAGAGTGAAACTTGCATGCAACTTTCTGGCATGTCTAGGCAGTGCCTGCGGCACTGGTTTCTGTCTTGCCTGACCTGGCGCGCTGGATGGGGACAGCTGCAGAGCTGGGTCCCAAGTTAAAGGCTGCTGAAAACAAAGGCGAGTGCCATGACACATTAGAGCTGCGGGAAGTATGAAGCTGTGCAAATGATGGAGGAGCAGGAGCTCACAGGCTGAGGAACGTAGCAGAAACCACCAACACAGTTCCTGAGAAGAAGCAGGAGAGAGACTCCTAGGAAAAGAGTTAAAAGTAGCCACACACACTAGAAAATTAAATTTAATTAAAAAATATAAAAATGAAGACTAAAACTGAAAGCAAACGTAACGAACCTGCTGAAGGAAAAGAGAAGCACAAAGCCAAGCACCTTACCAACAGGACTCGACACACTCTCAGTCTTGAGCAAGAGAGTGGGACGTAAAAAGCATCCACAAAAATGTCAGTGGGCGTTTTCCTAGTGGCGTCAGCTAGGCTGTTGTGAGCAATTTTAGAAGTGTTACAGGAAGGAGTGAGCGTTTAAACGTGCTGACGCTGCTGGAAGCCACTGTGCAAGGACACACACAGAGGGTGGAGGGAGGCAGGAACGAGCCCTGAGGGGCCAGCTGGAGCTGAGGGGCCAGGAAGAGCGCAGATTCCTAAGTGTGTCTGTGTTTGCAGGTATACGTATGGATGGATGTGTGTGTGCACATCCTGTGTGTGACCTCTCAGCCTCACAGGCAGTCACAGAATGAATGGAGTCCGCCTCCAGCCCACGCTGACGTGACGCGCAGTCCTGCGTGTACCGCTGCCGACCCCAAGCCCCACTCCAGCTGACCGGGGTCCCACACGCACCTGCGTTCCAGCCCAGGCACCTCCACTCGGAGGCCTCCTGAGACACTGCACTGCTCAGACGCCTCTGCCTAGACCACCTTAATAGGTGCACCTGGAAGACACTTTTCGCAGTCTGACTCAGGGTAAAGTACCCATCCACTCTTAACTCTGCCTTGTCAACCTTCAGGGCCCAGGGCCCAGGACTCTTTCAAACAGCAGGAGCCTTTTGTGTGGGCCAGGGAAATGCTGCCCCACCCTCTCCTGTCTCTGATGACACACCTGACCCTTGCCCAGTGCTGGAAAATGCAGACTGGTAGAGCTTCAGCCATTTTCTGTTTAGATTCCTGCTTATACTATCAGGCTAAGTGAATGAATGCTTACTTTTACTTTGTTTGGTTTGTTATCTTAATTGGCCAGCTTGGCAACTGGCAGCTCTCTCTCTGGCACAGTGAACAAACTGATCAATGGAACAAAATGCTTTTCCAAAAAGTAAAATCCCTGTAGACCCTACACAGCACTTGTACGTGTCAGAGAACAGGTGGGTCACCCTGGGGCAGGAGGTGCCGGGGAACAGGTGGGTCACCCTGGGGCAGGAGGTGCCGGGGAACAGGTGGTTC